GGTTCCTTGATAATTCTAAATCCACAATCCACTTCTTTGTTTTCAGTCAGGAAAATTTATTATTTTCCATTTTTGGAAGTCTTTCGTCTTCCCACCTTCTTCTGTTCTCATACTGGTATCTCACCATACCCTCAGAGGGTGTCAACGGGTTTCGCCTCTCTCTCAGAGTGGCATCTCACACCTATCCCCTCAATGGGTGCCAACAGGCCTCCCCTCCTACTTCACATAATTACCTCCGCCTAACACTCACGCCACCATTCAGCCAATGGGCGCTCAGCGGCGTGGGTGTGGCTAGACTGGCCTCGGTTTAAAAAAATATTGCTCAAAGAAAAAAAATTATCTTTTTTTTTTTTTCTTCCTTTTCCTTCTCTTCTTCGAGGAGACCTCACACGACTCTTAGGATGGTCTCCGGACTTCATCTGGAGTTCGTCAACGAGATTTTCGCCAATTATCAAGTGGGTGGTCAATTGGACGTATCGCACTCTGTCGCTAATTAACTACTCCGATAAAATAGTTTTGCTATCATAGCCATCCCTGACAATAAACAGATGCTCCTCTCAATGATATTCTGCATATAGACAAAGGCTTACGCTTTCCTTCATGGTGGTCAGCGAACATTTTTGTTTTTCGGTCAGCGCATGACATATTTAATTTTTATCTCTTTAGAATTCTGCGGGAGGTCGCTTGTTCAACTTGAAATGTTTACCATTGCCATGGGCAGATTGGATATATCTTATTCGCCGCCCCGTAACATAAATCAGATTAAATCCAGTATGTTACTTTCTCGTCAATGAAAATAAAATTTTACCACTTTTCTTTGTTAGAAAAATAACATAACTTAGTGCCCTGTTCGTGAACGCTTCTTATCACCTAAATTTAATTCTCGCCTTTTTTTTCTTCTTTCTTTCTAGCGACGTAAATAGTGTCACAATTGTTTATATTTATCTGTTTGCTTATTGTTGTTATTATTGCTTATTCGACTTTTCTTGCTTATCTTACTTTTGTTACCCTTTTACACTTAGTACTTCTAATATGACACATTCATAATAAGTACAAGTGCTTCTTCTTTTATTTGCCCTTGTAAGTTTTGTCTTTTTCTTATTTCTCCTAAACTCTGTCCTACCATCCATTTACTCAAACTCATCATGTATGTTACACGCTGCTTTCTTCTGTCCGTCTTTCCCTCTATCTGTCCTGTGAGTATCAGTTTTTCTAAGCCCTCCTTCCTCAGTACGTACTCCAGACATTTCAACTCCCTCTTCATTTTTTATTCCATTTTCTCCAAAACCTTGTTGTTACTCACATGTGCGGTCTATAGTATCCTCGGTATCTTTCTGTAGAACCACATTGCTGTTGGTTCATCGATGAGAAGATTGTCCAGCATTCGCTACTATACAGGAGGACTGGTATCACGTTCGATACTCTTTTCTTTGTTTCTAACGAAATTTTTCTGCATCTTTATACTCTGCTTAGCTTTGGGAAAGCATTTTTGGGCATCCTAATCAGTCTTGCTTACATTTTTTGAATTTCTTCGTAAATTAAACTGATTAGTAGTAGTATTACTTAGTATTAGTTGCAATATTATTAGTATTACTTAGTATTAGTTGTGATATTATTAGTAGTGGTAAAATGCTTATAAGTATTTCCTATGTGAGCCACATAAAAAAATACACTGTTTTTTTACGCGTAACCATCTCGCATCGTATGGGCATAATATGTACTGCCGCAGCAGTAGCTGTTATGTTTTTTAAGCAAGATATCCTGACAGAGGCCAACCCTCTCCAGTCTCATTTTGAATTCAGAGGTTATACTTCTCCCGACCAGTTGCCAACCAAGGACCCAGTCTGTCATGCTATTTATCCATAGTTGGGGGACAGAAGTGGTGGATTCATGCCTTTTCCAAGGTTATTAGTGTATAAGTGAATATAAGGAACTCGACTGGAATTCGAACTCGGCTCTCCGATTCCTCAATCCGAGTCGCTATCCACCGTGTCTAGTTTATGAATTTGGGAGATCTCAAAAGCCAACAATCTGTTATCTTGCACTATACCATCTTTAATCAAAAGAAGAAGCAAAAAGAAGAGGAAAAATCGGCTATGACATATGGCTGTGTTTGATTGATTATTTGGAGGTGAAATGATGAAAAAAAAGATTAAGACTTTGTAAAGATTAAGCCGATCCCCACCTGCAGAACGGAAGGTGAAATATCGCCACGAGGAGAAAAGAAAATCTGAATCTTTTTTTTCGCGATACTGGTTTCGTCATTTATGAATTCGATTCTGCTGTCTTCTCTCACGACAGACTAACGGACCATATCTTCTCCTCGGCCAGCGAAAATGAACTCTGTCCATCACTTCTTATTCCAACCGTGACACTGTGTATGTCTTGTTATAACTCTACAATTCGACAGACAGCTTTTTATCGGAGTTAGTAGCATTGGTAGTTGCATAATTAAAAGAAAAAACTTGTAGTAGACAATTTCTAGAGTAAAAACAAAATTCATTTTTTTACGTCATCATTTCGGGTTTTTTCCTTGACTTGAATTCTTAAGCGTTCCTAGTTTCTTTGCACAGTTTTACTCAAATTAAAAGAGTGACCACGACTGGCAACTGCTAGTCGAAATATTTCCATAAAATAAATCATTCGTTGGAACTACAAGTTTTTTTCTTTTAATTTAGTTTTTTATCGGCCTTTATTCAGTGTGTAACCTATGTAAGCCCGTGACAGGAAATCTTGACCTTCCGTCTGACCATGATTTTTTTTCTATATTGATTTGACACTTGACTCCAATGTTTTTATCTATTTATTTATCAATATATTTCACGTACTTACCGCTACTTCTGAACAGCCAGTGGTCGCTTTGCGACCTTATATTTCGATTTTAATGACAACGCCATCAAAAGTCATGAAGCCTTGTCAACATTGATTGAATGGTTTGTTTTTTTACGGCTTATCAACCTTTTTGCAGTTTATTTAAAACCAGAAAATATTTTTATATTGTGATGATTTTTTGGCGATAATAATGATT